CAACAACGTCAAAACCAAACAACCGACAGCTGCAATTTCTCTAAACGAGTTAAGTTAAGTTGATGAAGTAAGGTGTACGCCATCTAAGTTTATAGAACTGACTAGTCCGTAGGCGAAAAGGTCCCGAATGCCCTCCCGCCCGCTCCCTTTATGATATTCAACGTCCAATCATCGAGGATCGCCCTTACGGCTTGCACAGGGTTCCCTGTCGAATCGGTGGTTTCTGTCGATTGCTGGTCTACTCTCTCGGTAGGCGTCTATCAACATTGCGGAGAACACGGAACTGATTAGGTTTGGAATGGAAATACCGTCTTACCACACTCCTATTTGTCATTGTAATAGTCTTCAACGTTTTTCTTCTCCACCACGCGTTATATTATGCCATCGATAATTTGCAAAACAATCTTCGTGAACTGATCGGGACATCTACATCGCCTCATTACCTTCCAAAAGTATCGGTGTATGGGCTCAATAACTTCGGTAAGCTCTGCAACAGTAATGTAAAAGCCGATCGTTGCCTCTTTTCGCTCCGCTTACAATTGTTGGTTCAGGAAGCTCCTATTCATGATTCAGTGGTTGTTTCGGAATCTGCACTGATTCCCCGGAAGAAGGCCTTGTTCCAGCTGTACCTTCAGACCGGTATTAATCCCCTAAAGAAGGAATCCTGTCAGGTTGCGTTGCGCAGGTTTGGGTCGTTTTCTGGATTTCGGACCTGTCTGCCCTTTTCCCGTCTCGTTCAGACACTGCATGTTCTTTTGCGTCACCAACTTGACCTCCTGTTAGCCATTCATCACGTCTCCTTTTTCTCACGTTTTTTCTAATATTCGAGTCCTCTTTTCTAGCAATCCCCGTGAATGTCACACCGAGCAAAAGCACCGACTTAACTCTCAAACCTCCCGCACAAACCCCTTCTCCGTCTTCGTCACAAAAGAAGACGGAGGATTTGGCGTCAATTATGGTGGCTGGCACCGACTGCACCTCTCCAACTCCAACCCTCATGAACAGAATGTCAGTCCGTATGGACACACCCAGTCCACAGATGTCCAGCAGTAGTCGCCCCTCTGCCTCCACATTTCTTACTGGTAGCCCCATGATAGCCCCTGCGAGTGTGTGTGCTCCGGGTTTGAACAGTCCTCTTTTCCGGGGTAAGGCTAAAGATCTATGAAAGTATATTTACTTTACACTTTATTAGTGCGTATGAATTCCTCCCACAATATCCCGCACTTGTCAGTTTTGATA